ACGGGCAGGAAAGTCAAGGAGACTCTTATCTTCAAATAATCATCAAAAAGAGGAGCTGTGGATCAAATAGTAGAAAGCACTAGCCTTGAGCAAAAAAAAACAAAAACAAAAACAAAAAAAAGCTCAGAGACAACACCCAGGCCGTGAGTTCAAGCACTAGGACTGACACAAAATAAGTGAATCATTTTGTGACTGGGACAAGAATGACTAGACATGAGCAGATTAGGCCACTGACAGATTCTTGACTAGATGCCATTACTGGGATGGCACTGGGACATGTGGAAACTGTCCTGTCATGGCAGTTTCACCCCCATCCCCTCCACGATGCTCTGCCTTGTCACAAGCCCACAGGCATGAGGCCAAAGGACCATGGACTGAAAGAAACCTGTAAAACTGTGAGCCAAAATGAACCTTTCTTCCTTTTAAAAGTTTTTCTCAGGAGTTTTGTCACAGTAATGGAAAGCTGACTAACCCAGTCTCAAGCTCCCTGGCCTCTTCATTAAGAGCTTCCTCCTGTGTAGACCACAGGAAGTGGAGGAACCAGCCAGCCAGAAACTTACATTTGAAGTAGATTTTCTTAAAGTCAAAGCATTTTCTTCATGGATTAAAAAGGATTTCTGTAAGTAAAACAAGTCTGCCATGAAATGCTGTGTAGCTCCATCTATAGAAAATTCTAGAAAAGGCAAAGCTATAGCCAGCAAACCGATCAATAATTGCAATTGCTGAGGGAGACTAACCACAATGAGTAAAAATAAAGGATATCTGGAAGGGAGAGCAGATAGAATTGTGATTCCGGAGATGGTCACGTGACTGAATACATCACTGCTGTCATAATGCACTGAATATTACAATTTAAAGACTGAATTCTATTTTATGCAAATTGCATCTCAATATCCCAATAAACCTGAATTCTTTATAGGGAACTGATTAAGCAATACTCTACCAGTAATTCTCAACAGTGTAAAGGAATATTTTAACCCTCTAAAAGCAATGAGATACCATTTCTGAAAGAATGACTTTTTAATATTAAAAAATAGTGTGTTGGGCAGCAGTGAGACAGTGTTTTCCACAGTCTACTGGGGAGAATCTGATCCACTAGAGGATGAGAAAGAAATTCAGTGAAGGCTTAGCATATATTCTACAACCATTGTGCTAGTTAAGCACTGATCATGCAAGCTAGCTAAATAAGATGGCAAGTTTCTACTCTGAGCTTGCCTTCATTTTCCCTACTAAATTCTGCCAGGCAGCCTTGGATTTCATAACAGGTCTGCAGATTCCTAGTAGTGCTCATAGCACAAAACCTCTCATTGACTACTCCTGGCTGGCATGCGAGGGAGGGTAGCAGCAAACTAGCTCCAGTTCTTTGGTCCTGTTATTCACAGATGAACCAGTATTCTCAAAAACTAACCAGAGAATATAAAGGAAGAATATAATTCTCCTTACCCCCATCCTAGTGTTCATGTTTTGAATTCAGGTTTCACACTCACCAGGCAAGGCCTTCTACCACTGAGCTACACAGCTAGCCTTTATTTGCAATAGTTATTTTTGAGATAGAGACTCACTTCCTTGATCTTGGATCATCTCATTTATCACATCCCATCATCACTGGGAAAGTAGGTTTGAGACATCACATCCTGCTTCTTCTGACTAAATGGAGTCTTATGGACTTTTCTACCAAGGCTGGCCTGGAACCTTGATCCTACTGATCTCATAGCCCCAGTGTTACTAGGCAATCAGCACAGTGCCACCTATCGACTGCCTATTGACTGAGAAGATGTCTTGCATGTGTGCCTAGGTTGGCTGCAAGCTAAAAATCAACCAATCTCAGCCTCCTAAGTAGCTAGGATTACAGGTGTGAGCCACCAGCACCCTGTTTCATATTCTTCTTTCCCTGATTCTAGGATGCATTCACTTCTTCTTTACAGTGATTCATCAAAACACCAAAGCACTCAGTTGGCTAAATAACCTCAATCCCCACTTCTAAAACAAATTCCAGATGAGTCAAAGACATAAACATAATTGAATTATAAATTTACAAAAATACACTAAAAAATGTTCTTATAATTTTGGAACAAAAGAAGATCTTAAACATGATGCAGGGGCTGGGAAAGAGGTAGAGCGCTTGCCTTGCATGCATGAGGCCCTAGGTTCGATTCCCTCAGCATCACATAACCAAAAAGAAAAAAGCCGGAAGTGGCACTGTGACTCAAGTGGTAGAGCACTAGCCTTGAGCTGAAGAGCTGAGGGACAGCACCCAGGCCCAGAGTTCAGGCCCTACGACAGGACCAAAAAAAAAACATGATGCAGAACCAAAAATCAAAAAGTGAAAACATTGCCGGGCACTGTTGGCTCACACCTGTAATCCTAGCTACTCAGGAGGCTGAGATCAGAGGATGACAGTTCAAAGCCAGCCCAGGCAGGAAAGTCCATGAGACTCTTATCGCCAATAAACTACTAGAAAACTGCAAGTGGCACTGTAGCTCAAGTGATAGAGTGCTGGCCTTGAGCTGAAGAGCTCAGGGACAGCACCCAGGTCCAGAGTTCAAGCCGCACTACCACCACCAACAACAACAACAACAAAAAACAGTTAAAACATTCATAAACTTTACCATAAAAAAACTGAATGTTCCACTTAGCAATAAAAAAAATTTCAAACTCAAAATCTAAATAGCCAAATAGAAGAAAGCATCTATAGTATAAATAACAAAAATATTACATATATATGTATATATAACATATATAACATATACATGTCATATATACTATATATACATATCATATGATATATATATATGTAACTTTCACAAACAAGGAGTTACTGTAAATCACAAACAGAAAGTAAACCCAATAGGAAAACATGTGAAGGACAGTAACAGTTCACCAACAATAAAAATAGGTGGACTGAGGTAGAACCTCAGTGGTAGGGTGAATTCTTCATATGCAAAGGTCCTGGTTGCAATCTCCAACACTGAAAATGCAATAAAAGTTACAAGAGGCCAATAGACACATGAGGACATATACAAGCATGAGTTCAGAAATGGAAGTAAAAACACTGGGGAAGCCCCATTTAGCATCTGTGACATAGACCTAATGTTGATAATACCCAAGGCTAGTAAGAAGGGAAAAAGAACTCCTACACACAAAATTAGTGAAATCCAAAGTAGGGAGATTTTTTTTTTAGAAGACAATTCAGCAATTTCTATGAAAATTCTGAGGACAATATATTCTATGCTTCAGCAATTTCACCGGAATAACTTCATTCTATAGACATATACCTAGAGGTATAACAATATTTCAGTAACAGCGTTTATTACAGCATGATGTATAAGAACAATGACAAAAAGGGAAGAACCAAGGTAGGTAGGTGCCAGTGGCTCACCCTTACAATCCTACCTACTCAAGGAGCTGACATCTGAGGATCACAGTTCAAAGCCAGCCAAGGCAGGAAAATCTGTGAGACACTTTATCTCCAATAAACTACTCAAAAAAGCTGAAAGTGGACCTGTTGCTAAGTGGTGGAGTGTTAGCCTTGAGCAAAAGGAGCTCAGAGACAATGCCCAGGCTCTGAGTTCAAGCCCCAGGACTGGCAGAAAATTTTTAAAAAAAAGGAAAGAACCAAACATGTCCATCAATAGTGGACTTCAAGAAACTACTGCCATTCATTTCTGGCAGCACTGCCCAGTCATGCTGACCAAAACAGAGACCCACGTTGTATACATGTTGGGATGGGGGAGCCAAGCACAGTGGCTCACAGCTATAATCCTAGCTGTTCAGGGTACTGAGATCTGACAATCCTGGTTCAAAGACAGCATAAGAAAACAGAGTCATAAGACTCTTATCTCTAATTAAGCAGCCAAAAGCCAAAAGGGGAGCTGTGGCTAAGTGATAGAACGCCAGCCTTAAGTGAAAAGCCAAGCAAGAGTACAAGACTGAGTTCACACCTCAATACCAAAGGAGAGGGGAAACTAAACTGCCCTGCAAAGATAGTGCAAAGTCCAGAGCTACCATCATTCATGGAAAATACAGAATGTCAGAGATGGGAAAGCTTTAGAAGAAGGACCCTTCCCTGAAAGGTCACCTCAGCACAAACCCATAAGGATCATGAATGAGCAGAACTGTCCAAAGCAGGTCAAGGGGGGTATGGCTCAAGTATAGAGTCCTAGCCTAGAAAGAATGAAAGCCCTGAGTACAGTCCAAAACAAATGTCATTGTGAAAAAAGGATTTGGGGTTATATTTAGAGACAGAAGAGCCAAGTATAAGTAAAACATTTCACCCCAGGCCCTAACCTAGGAAGCAGGCAGATATATAGGATTATTGAAGTTTGAAGTGTGGATCTTTCTGTCAGACATAAGGAATGGGGTGGGGCGGGGAGCAACTGGATACAATAAGTATGAACTAACAAAATAAAAGAGCTTCTTCGGTATTGACTTAACAAGTACCTGCTGCTCTGAAATAGAGCATTTTGTAATATTCCTGTAATTCAGTGGCTGAATTTAAAATACTCGCCTCCTCTCCCCCATATATCTAACACAAGATTTTCTAAGATCCTGGGGAGCAAGTGAAGCATATTGAAGCCCAAATTTCCAGACTACATTTCACACAATGCCTGCAAAGAACATGATTAGTCTGAGGTCATAGTTTATTGAAGGATTAGTGATAACAACTCATATACGGGGACTGTACATCCGACTTGCTCCACCTCCACATGAAGTCAGCAGCTCAAGTTAAATGACAGGGAAATTAACTGTGGTCTGCATCAACAACGGAAAGCAATGCAACTGGCTACACAGAACCAGCCCAGAATATCTGCAGGCCCTTGAAGCCCACCTCTAAGAATGCCCCATTTGCTCCCCACATGGCTTTATTTCCATAGCAGGACAAGAACGAGTTCCTCCACAATGGATAACATGAAAAGCATCTTCTCCAAAGGCACAAGTGATGGGCTGAAAGGAGCCACCGAGGTGACTCAGAAGCCTCTTTCCCACCCAGGGTCACTTACCTTCGAATTCATTTCCATGTGGAATTTGGCACAAGCTCGAAGCTGAGTCACCCAAAACTGTTTCTCTTTTGCATCAGCAGCTAAAATAGAGAACACAGAGAAAGAAATGCTTGCAGAGATTGTTCTCAAACACATCCAACAGCTTTCTACACCACTTGAGGGGGTGGGAATCTAGGGAGACAGGGAGAGAAGGTAATGAGGGAAAGTGTTCTCAAGTAGCTGGAACTTCCAAGAGCTGAATGACACTCCCTTCTCCCCACAAAATTTCTTCTTGCACATTAAAAATCAATTCTGAAATGTCTTATAAAAACAATTTTTGTCAATTTTTTTAATATCATCTGAAAAAGTCATTTCTACTTTTTAAAAAAAAAAAGGCAGCAAGAAAGGAAAAAAAGTGTTTCCTACCAAATGCCCCTACCTGGTGTTGCGAATATCAAGACAGAAGTACAAGCTGATCCATGGCCTTCTGTGATCCAGAGTTGTTCTGGGGAGTTTTTTGAGCATTCACAAACTAAACGCTCCATTATATGTATCATTATATGTGTTTGTTGATGATTGCACAGAACAAGAATCAAATGCTACCTTCAAAATACCCAAAATTTTCCCACAGCTGGATGCTAGTAGCTCATGTGTATAATCCTAGCTACTCAGGAAGCTGAGATCAGAAGATCATGGTTCAAAGCCAGCCTGGGAAAGAAAGTTCATGAGACTCTGAGTTCTAACCAATTACCAAAAAGCCAGAAGTGAAAAAGCTAAGGACAGGCCACAGACCCTGAGTTCAGGGCCCAATACTAGCACAAAATAAAATAGAAAAAAAAAATCCCAAAGGACAGTAAGTCCAAGTCACTTGCACAATCATATTCTTCCATCTATACTCCAACTCTTGAATAATATATATAATTATTCTTAAATATACTGGACATGTAACTAGTGTTAATACAATCTCAATCATCAATTTACCAGTGACTGCATAAATATTCTATTAGCTACATAAATGCAAAAAAAAAAAAGATTCCCATAGAAATTATTCTTCCTTACCTAGACCAAAGTATCATTTATTAATGAAATCTGGCTTCAGCTTAACCTTTCAGGGGAAGAAATCTAAAGCTAGAAAATGGGAAATTCTTGGCTCCGGTCCATGTAAGACATGGGGATAGCTGGCCCTTTAAATCCAACCTGATCTGTCCAGAGTCCCATTGTATAAATATGAGAAAGACTGTGTAAGACAGGGGGTGGGGATTAACTTCTGAAAACAAAGGAAGTACTACTACCCAAAGACTTAACACCCAAAGAGAAAACAAGACTGCCAGTTCCCAAGGGGAGAGGGACAAGGGGAAGCAGTGAACATGCAGAAATGTCCCGGATCTTTCATAGTTGATAAATTCAGGCTAAATTTAGCCCTTGTGACTATTTCATGAGGAAAATAAAACTTTTATGTATGCTATTAAAATTGCCCTTTAAAAAAAACTAGGAGTTTTAACAATCCACAGAATATTAACAACTCAGCGTGAGATGAGAGAGCTCAACTGTCAAATAGCTTAGATTTTTCTTTCATATGGGCTTCTGTCATTTTATAAACCACAGGCAAGAAGTGCCATTAAAGTTTTCACCTGCTATTGTTTCTACTCTGGCAATTTATTAAGCAATAAATAGCAAAGCGAAGCCAAGGACCATATAAATCTAGTCAGCTGGAAGGCGTGCTATGTGAATCTCAAAAGAGAAAGTGTATCTTAACACGTGTCGGAAAAATCAAAAAAATTTCTTCTTCAACCCAAGGCATTTTCATTTCATAGGCTTTTGGACTGTTTTATTGATTCTGATATAGGATTTGTATATAGACAGTAAAGAAACATGAGCTTACTCCTTCTCTGAGTGGTAGACTTGGGCAGGGGAACAAGGAGAAGAGGAGGGAAAGGTGGGATCCAGACCCTCAGTGCAGCCTTGTCGGGGGGTAATGACAGCACTTGGGACAGGTAAGAAGGTGCTGTCTCGTGGTACTTAGCTCTTACTTAGAAAAAGGCAGAATTGCCAGGCCCTAGTCACTCACTCCTATAATCAGCTACTCAGAAGGCTGAAATATGAGCATCACAGTTCAAAACCAGCTCTAATAGACCAATCTAAGAGACTCTGATATAGAATTAGCAAAAAGCCAGAAGTACTGGTGAGGCTCAAGTGGGAGAGCACCAGAATGGAGCAAAAAAGCCAAGCAAGAGCACAAAGCCCTGTTCAAGTCCCAGTACTGACACAAAAGGAAAACAAAATGGTAGAATTATGAGCTGCATCGCCATTACCTACAAAAGCCCAGCTTGTTTAGTCCTTAGTAAATAACCTGGATTATGTGCGCAGGCTCTGTGCACACGTATGTACATGCATTGCACTGTAAATTTGAATTTCGTCTGCTTTGCTATTTTATTAGAAGAAAACTGGCATAATCATGGCAACGCAGCCACAACAGGATCTTGAAAGAATGAGTGAGCAATCAAATCACAGTGCATTTACAAGGCAATCTGGCATTTCTGGGAGAAGGATGTGCCCAGATAAACACTGGACTCTCTCAACTGTCAGCTTCATTTCTAAGGATGTCATCAAACATCACTTTTGAGAGGGCACAGGGAAGATAAAAGTGCCCAATGGGAAGTTCATGCCAGCTAGCTTCTCAGTAGGCCTTACCTCTACCTCAGATGGCTCAAGAAAAACTCTGGCGTGTGTGTGTGTGTGTGTGTGTGTGTGTGTAGATACTATAAACCTCTCCCACAATCAGTGAAGATCAAAAATAACATATACTGAGTAAATCCTAGACATCCTCCAAGCTCAGCCACCAGTGTCATCCCCTCCTCTTCCTCTATCCTTGATTTCTCAGTTCATCAAAACAAGCAATTCCTAATGTCAACTCCACCTCCTCATCCCTCAGGGCAGGGCAGGGGGGGCGTGGTTAAGAAGAACAGTGACCATTCCACCAGAATCCTCCAAATCCTCGCAAATTAATAAAGTGATTTTTTTTTATTATCATTGAGTAGTTGTACAAAGGGGTTTCAGCTCAACATGTCAGTTTGAGTGCAATGCATCTTGATCAATGTCATCCCTTTCATGATTCTTCCCACCCATTCCCCCAATTTACCTGGTTCCATTTTTCATATGAGTACATTGAATATTATTGACTGAACTTGAAATGATGCCAGGACCTGGGGGCTCATGCCTGTAATCCTAACTACTCAGGAAGCTGAGATCTGGGGATCATAGACCAAAGCCCAATCCGGCAGATAAATCAAAAACTCTCATCTCCAATTAGCCAGCAAAATGCTGGAAGTGGAGGTATGGCTCATATGGTAGAGTGCTAGCTTTGACCAAAACAAAAAAAAGGTAAAGGAAAGGGTAAGACTCTGAATTCTAGATCAGGTATTAGCACAAAAAGGAAGGGAGGAAAAGAGGGAAGAAGAGAAGGAAGGAGGAAAAAAATGGGAGGGAGAGACAGCACGGTACCTGTGAAAGGGCCCAGGAGGCCTGCCAGAAGCCTCCCCAGAGCACTCACCTCTCAGCTTATACATCTCTCCACTGGCAGCGTACACAACCAGCATGTGGGGAGCTTCGTCGCTCAGAGACACAATGGCTCCAGACAAAGACAGCACTCCTCGTGGCTTCTGGTGTTTGCTCTGCTCATTCACAAAATACTGCAGCATGCCAGTCTCAAAATCCAGCACAAAGTACCTGCACAGAGAAAGCACTGCACATTATTCTGCACTCCCCGCTTGTCCCACACAACAAAGCATTAAAGTCTATCAGGAAGTTCACATCAAGGTATCAAACTCACCAGGCTGGACCCAAGTTCCTCCCAGGACCCCACAAATGTCAACCACAATGTGGACAGTAGACTTTTTGTTTTTTGGTGCCAGTACTGAGGCTTGAACTCATGGCCTAGCACTTGAGCCATAGCTCTGCTTTCGAGGAACTAGTTTTGAAATCAGAATGATCCTGTACCAGGCCTCTGTGGGCAAATGTTGAGGGTCACTCAAGACTGGGGACCAAACCTAGAAGGTCATCTGGTGTATAATGGCACTATTTCAAACCTCAGCATGGGGGATCAGCAGGCACTGTGACAGCGAAATGCATGCACCTCCAACCATATGGACATTAGCTAGAATTCAGGAGGCCTCAAAAGATGTAGTACCCTTTACCCCCAGCAGCAAAGCTCAGCTTCCTGCCATTGCTCAGGTACCACAGAGCCAGAGCACCTGGTGTGATGACAAGGCACTGGCAGGGCTTTTGCAGGCACCTAGGCCCTGCGTACAGCCTTTTCACATCAAGGGACAACAACAGCCAGGGCCACTGAAGGGAATGGCAAAGCACGCAGGTCACATAGATGTCTGTGGCTAAATAGCTAGCTGACTTCATCTCTCGGCCATCACCCAGCAAGGCCAAGACAGCTTTCCCTTCTCCACCGGAGGGAACATCCTCAATGGAGACCAGTTTCTGAAGTCTAGACAGCCAAGCAGGGCCCGCCGCCCACCCATCCTTCCCCCCTACCCTGACTCTGCCACCTCACTTTCTGCTCCACCATCCTGGCCTTTTCTCTCTTCCCTCCTATTCACCAAGTGCCTCCTATCAAAGGGCCTTTACACAAGCTGCTTACTGTGACTGGAGCCATTACTCAAAGAGTAGACCACAAACGGACAAGAGTCCTAACAGCCTTTTGAAACCTCCCAACTCTTGGATTTGTTTTAGCCCCCAACCACATGAATCAAGAGTGTCCTCAAAGATCGGATGTTTCCATCACATGGCACACAGCTGCCTAGAGTCATGGAGCAGTCCCAGGGTCCTTCCCCACAGGCAGGTAGACAAACACCTTCCCAAAATGCTCACCCCCTGCCTAGAATGTGGTTCCTTCCCCTTGTAGCCATGGGATGTTTCCTAAGCAAGCCTTCTCACAGCACCATGAAACTCTCCTTCGGCACACTGGGCACAGTGAAGTCCATATTTGTGTGACTGAGTCAATGTCTACTTCCTCCACAATGTGGAGATTAAACTGTCTCACTCAGTGCCCCTGACGCCACATTGCTATTCAGTCCCCATGGTAAAAGAACTTGGGGAGAGAGGGGGGAGAAAGTGTACTGAATCCCAAGGCATTTGGATCACACAGTGAGGTCAAAGAGGCATGGCAAAATATTTATTGCCTGTGTTTGAGGGTATATTCAGCATGGGTCAGACACAGCTCACACTACCATCTGGAGTACAGTCCTACCCCACACCCATCTTGGGACTTCAACTCAAGGCCTGTCCCTGAGCTTCTTTGCTCAAGGCTAGTGTTCTACCACTTGAGCCACAGCTCCACTTCTGGTTTTTTAAGAGTCTCTGGACTTTCCTATCGGGTCTTGCTTTGAACTGTGATCCTCAGATCTCAGCCTTCTGAATAGCTAGGATTACAGCTGTGAGCTCTGGCCCCTGGCTTATTCCTACACATTAATATGGGTCAAAAAACTGCCAAGCACTACTAACTCATGCCTATCATTCTAGCAACCAAGATCTCAGTTCAAAGCCAGTACAGGCAGAAAAGTCCATAAGACTCTTATCTCCAATTAATCACCAAAAACCTATGCATGGAGCTGTCATTCAAGTGGTAAAGTACCATCCTTGAGAAAAAGAAAAAAAGAAGCTAAGGGACAGTGCGCAGGCCCTGAGTTCAAGCCTTAGTATCAAAAGAAAGTAACTCTTTCAAGGAGAGAAGAACCAAACTAAGTGCTAACTTTGCCCAAGTATAATGGAATGACCTGGACAAGTGACCTGTATTCACGGTGACTAGCTGCACAGTCAGAACACTGAAATAATCCTGAGAGGTAGCAGGAAAGAGAAACCCTGGTACTGTATGCCCACCTGGGGACAGAGCCAAAGCATTCCCACTGCAGAGCATAGAGAGAGGAAGGCAGGAGTTATGTGCTCAAGAAAAAGGCAGAGCAATTTTCTGTGTGATGCTTTCCATTTCTCCACCCACCCTGCCTCTGACTACAGGGGAGAAAAAGCTAACTGGTGCTCACCATACCACCCACCCAGGGCCGGGCTTGCCTGCCACACCCTCAAAGCCACTCTCAGGCACATTCAAGCAAACACATCCCTATTTGCACAGATCATTTGGAAGCACACACAATGACTGAGTACCAGATTCTCCTTTCAGTAAGGATGGCAGAATAACCAAGTGATGTCACATTATGTGAAATCCTGGGACACATTAATTATTCTTTTTCACATTCCCTATTTTAAAGCTGGCATCTTCATTCTAATCTCCTGCGCCTAGATGGGGGTGGGGGGGAACAACTGCTTCCTAAAACCATACAAACACCAATGCACAAGTTGCACTTATTTGTACTGAAGATGGGCATAAATCATTTACTCCTTTTATCAATGTATTAAAATTTTATCATAATAAGTGGGGGCAATGGGATTCTAGCTGGTGAAAAATTCCAGCACACTGAACAGTATTCTTTTAGGTGATCGAGTCCTATATGCATGTGTCAGCGTTAGAAAGAGCAATTTCAAATGGTCACCTCCACTGGGAGGAAAGAAATTAATCTTGGCTTCCGTATACATCTCTGTCAGGTACTGCTGTTTGGAGCCTGGAGCTAGATTTGAAAGTTGTGGCTTGTATTGTAAATAGGAAACTTAACCATATTTCTAGATTAGGCTTCATTAAGCCAACAAGTGAAATTGCTGAACTCCTGAAACATTCCTAAAGTTTTTCCCTTATGGAGACATGGAGACAACCTAACCTATTCTATTACACATACATTTTATCTTTTTATTTTGAACTGTAGTGATGTACAATTTGGCTTCTTTGTAGATGAGCTTAATTGTGTAAAGGAAACACATTCCATGCTATATTAGATTAAAAAAGAGTCTGTTGGCCAGGCTCAAATGGTAGCTCATGCCTGTAAGAAGGTTAGAAGCCACCCAGGACAGACAAATCTGGAAGACTCTTTATCTCCACTTAACCAGCAAACAGCTGGAAGTAGAGGTATGGCTCAAGTGGGAGGACTCCAGCCAAAAAATAAGCCATGTGAGAGTCCTGAGTTCAAGCTCCAGTACTTGGCATGAAAAAAAAAAGCTAGAGGAGGAAGAATCAAAGGAATGAAACCAACCCAGGATGATAGAATCCCTTAGCTCTACCTGGCTAGCATCTTAAAGGTACCTTGTTGAATTCTAGGCTGGGAGTCTAAGGCAGGCAGCAGCCCCTTCCTGGTAAAGATAGAGGACTAGCTACTGTCACTAATACCTTTAGCTTACACTTACACACACACACACACACACACACACACACACACACACACACATGCATTCACACATTTCACATTCATACCTGTACTTATATATGCTCACAAAAATGTGTACACGCACGCAGTTACTCATTCTGTTCACACACATATACTCACAACTAACTCATGCACGTTTGCATAGACACTTACACATGCATATGTACTCACACAAACTCACATTTGCCCTCATTCACTCTCATACACAATACCACCCACTCCTGCCTACTCACAGTGCTGTCTGTCCCAGGCTGGCACTTCTCAAGCTCATTTGACCAACTATAATTTTCTCCCCTTATCCTAACTGCCTCAAAGTTCCTTTAAAGATCTAACCTTCAGGATCTTCACATTGACAAAAGCCTACATTTTCTCTCTGAGGAGAGAGTATGGCCACAGCTCCCACCACATCCCAGCAAGAACTGCATCCATATAGGAAAGACAGTCACAGGCTAGAAGCTCAGCAATGTGAACTAGCTGAAGTTACAGCCAAACTACACAAGAATTACGAAGAAAAACATGCAAGAGAAGCTTTCCTCTGATGAAGAACCGCACCTATAAAGCCAGTCACTATTATTAAAAAGTCAAATCATTTCATCTAAACGTAAAAGCAAAAATTAAACTGAGTAAAGCGGCCATCTTGTCTGAAATAAGCAGGTCTTTCCTTCCAATAGGCCTGGTAGTATCAAGACTTCTGATTCCTTAGTCTTGAGGATTGAGGACCAGGCCCCTCACTTCCACAGCAGAGGCCAGGGCCAGAGCCACAGAGGTGCTACCAATCCCAGTATCCCCCACTGAAAGAAGCCAGAGGAACAAATTTCTTCCTGGCTACACGCATCATCCCTGCTGCATCTGCCTCAATTTCCCCAGGCATCAGTCTCCAAGAAGCCAACTACTGGACTGCATGACCAGGTCAGACCTGCACTCGGTCACGGTCCATTGTGCCCTGATCAAAGGCAACAGGCAGCTGCTTAAGGACCTTCTACACTCCCACATTCCCACCAACACAGCAAAATAAAACAGGCAGAGACCCTCTCCCCATTGCCATTACACCCCACAGCTCCACTGATGGGTCCAGCTAGTGCAGAACCCAGAGATGGAAAGAAACATCACTGTATATACACCCATGTATATACACCAGTGAACACAGTACCTATCACAGGCCTTCCAGTACACAACGCCACTTCTGAGATCAAATAGCACCACATTTCCCAAACTTCGAATCCTCACAGCTCAGGTGAAGACTACATCGATAGCTGACCTCATTCTCTCTCATTATGAAGGGACCAGAGCCCAGCTTTCCTAAATCATGAGAGCTCAGGAAGTGGATTTCTTGGTTTTGTTAATTTGGAAGTTTTTTTGAGAAAGACTGGAAGTTACACAATTACCTGGCATGGAGTTCCTAAAACCATG